CTCTGCTCTCATTTTTGTTATTCCTCCACAATCAACTTCCACAGATCCTAGCAGCGACGTCAAGTCTTAAAGTCAATGCCACTGTCGCTGCTGAATATAGCAGCTCCCCCTGTCACCCCTACTACTCTATTCCAATTTTCTCCCCTGTACCCAGTCCTTTTCTTCGAGGCTCCAAATTGTCCGTCCTAGCCCAATTAAATTAAAATCTCAAAATAATAAAAGATGTCAAGATAAACAGCTAAATCTTTTTTCTTAGCTGTCACAAATAATAGCAAAACCTCATTTCAAATTGCCGGTGTGTTCTTCTTGTCCAACAAAGGTGTAGGAATTGGACCTTTGAGTTATTACCAGTCAGGTTACTGTAAATGAACGCACTATTGTAAGATACACCACACATACACAACATGTTGTTCGTAGCAGCATTGAATCAGTAAAAAAAAAAAAAAGAAACCAGGTATGCTAATTGCAATAAGAGCATTAATTGTGGAAGTTACTCTATATGGTTACACCATGCACAAGCATTAACACACGACTTACATATCTTTTAATTTTTTTAGTGCTGCTAAAGGCTCAGTATTTCTTCTCCTGTCAAATTGTTTGGTGGATAAATCCCTGGAAACATGATGGGATATCAATAACTATTTAATTCTGTTCATAGCTGCCAGATAACAGAAAATAAAAAACATGATGACAATAATTAGTTCGTTACTTACAAATCCTTCAATTCTGTGAAATGGCGAATGAAAGAGCTATTTGTCCAGTCAGATTGCTTGAGCTCAAGTTTTCTCTTTCTGCGGCTCTATCAGGTTTAGGAATGAAGGTTGTAAGTAAGCACAAGCGAGGAAGCTAGCAGCTAAGAATAGAAAGACTGGTATGAACTAATAGCGCATATATATGTATATACATAAACTCTCTTTTTATGTACTCATTGATCTAGAAGCCTTGAAAGATAAGAATTTATCTTCTACTTACATTGAAATGATTCTTGGTGTTCCACTATCGTTGCAAGTGAGACCTTTCCTGTATAACCCATTGGCCCGCATGGATCTCCTTGCCAACTGAGATTTGTAATGCCATAAAATCCTTTTATGTCTTGGATCGCAGCAACTGTCATTCCAAGTAGAAATTGGGAATCATTACCTGAAACACATTAATTCTAATTAACTAAACAATAAACGCATACCATCTCCTTCATCAGTTGTCGAATTTAATGGCTGGGGAAGAACTCTATAGATTTCATAAGCATTGAGCATGGCAGGTAACTGAGAGTCCGAGGCAGATCTGATGGAAATATTACTAACAACATCATGACCTTTAATATTCCTAACCAAAGTAGTGGGTTTCATGTACTCAAGAGTAAAGGACACATCGACCCCATCACTGAAAGCAATAACCATCTTCCTCTGCTGATTATTCCGTGACTTGCTCACGAATCATAAAAATGAAGGTACACATAATAATCATGGCCAGTATTACAGCATCTATCCATGTGGATAACTAAGGAAGAAGATGCATGAATAGACTGAACTGCACTAGTCAACACTTCTTTTGGCAGGTCGTATACATTGTCACTCGTATTACTGTCAATAGCCGCAGATGAAGAACTGATTCGCACCGAGTTGTCCATCTTTCTATTGAACCAGGACCTTCCATAGTTATCATCTGGATATATGAAAATTAAAGAGTTTTATTCTATTACAACGTGAGAGGATTACACATGGATTTAATCTGGTGGTGAACAAATTAAGGTAGAAGTGACCTGATGTAGTATCATCTTCAGACATACCCAGCTTGGAGCGTGACATTAGTCTGAGCAAACTCGAAGCTAACTGATCATACCTAGAATTCTGCCATGGCCATACTTCCAACAGTGAAATGAAGGGTATTCCGTCGTCCGTTTTCACAAGACACACATTGATGTCATCAGTTGGAGAGAAATGAATGACCTCGTGACGTACAATGTCTCCATCCTCTTTGCTAATTGTTGCCCAGTAATTGACACCAATGTACAAATCAAAGGATGTTTTACTATCGTAGTTTCCATATGCGAAGAATGCCCGCACGAGGTAGTATGCGTTTCTTTCTGTGGGCACTCTGTAGCAATTCCTTTTCCCTTCTGGAAAGCTTCTTAATGTCCTCAGCTGATTGCCAATCTCTTCTTTGTTGTAATTCGATGATAAGTTAAGCCCCTTGCCGTGTTCAACGAATCCATCATCGTATTGGTAATCAGATGGGGTCTTCTCGTCCCCGGAACCCTTTATTACTCCACAATCAATCCTTGTGGCGTTCTTAACTGGAAAATTAAACTAGTATAAAAACCAACCTTTCTGCGTATCAATACACCCATTCATGTTTAAACAATAGTCACTTTGGAGCAGGGGCGCTCCCAGGTTAGAGATTTAATTTACCCTTAAATATTAAAAATATTTCAAAAATAAAAAATTATTTATAAAAAAAATACAAGGATTAAAGATCTAATTTACCTTGATTTTTTTTTTTGGAAAAGTAAAAGATTGAGCAATATTCTCCTAAATTTTTTTTTAAGGAGCAATATTATTGCTTCATTAAATATCCGTTGACTTGATCATTGTTTGGCAAAACACTAAAGGGAGAGGGAGAAAATATAATAAGGAGTGAAAAATAATATTGAAAAAGTATATTTAATAAAATTTTATTTTTATCTAATTTTTTATATTTTAAAAAACCATATCACTTCCAAAATTATCTTGTGAAAGGGGAGGAGGGAGCATGTACTATTGTTAGGGATGAGTATTTGAGTATCGGTCAGTTTGATTTGATGTTAAAATGTATAAAATTGATTGATTAAATAATACTAAAAATTTAACAGAATTGAATAAAACAATGTAATTGCACCCAACGATTGGATTAATTCAATTTTGAATTTCATGTGGGTTGTTGGACAATTGGGCCTATTATTTATTTTTTTTCTACTAAAAAAAGAAAGAACATAAAGACAAGACACTATATAAAAAATAGGTTCCTAAATGATAGTAGCCCGATTCAATTTGTAACATATAACACACACATATTCCATCAAAATTAAAATTCAACACAAAAAATAGCGAGGCAACATATTAGTAAACAATAACTAGTCCAGATTTGAGCTAAACCAACAGGCAACACCGTACTAATAAAGCATTAAGAAGCTAAGGTACTAATAAGGAGAGCATTAAGAAGCTAAGAGAGCAGGATGGAGACAAAGTGAAAATAAGGAGAATGAGTGGCTAGAATTTTAACTTATCATATTATATATTTACTTTTATTTAAATATAAAATAAAAATAAAATAAATAAATTATATATAATTTATAAATTATATATATAATAAATGGTCTATTTAATTTTAAATCTTATTGATCAAATCAAATTGATTAATTAAAATATTTTTATAACAACTAAATTAAATAGATTAAATTAAATAATAACATTTTGATTTGATTGTGTTCAATTTTTAAATTCGATTTGATTTTACTCATCTGGTGAGAAAATGAGATGGTTTTGGGTTGAATTTGGAAAAGTTAAAAAAAAAAAGAAAAAAAAAAAGAAAAGGCAAGTACGAAAAGAAGGGGACAACCAAGCGCCTAATGTAGGCTCCTGAGATTCCCAAGAAGCCCGATTCATTTCTATTGTTGCTTGGCAATAATTGAGGCATTTAATATATGCCTCGATTGTTACTTTTTAAAAAATTAATATTTTAATATTTTAATTTTTAATTCATTTATAATTTAATCTCTTAATTATGATTTCATCTCTTAATTTTTGACTCACTTATAACTTGACCTTTATTTTTAAATTCTTTTAAAAATCCTTATCAAATAAGATGAATAAAAAAAATTTTCATATCTTGTTCTAATACTCACATCTTACTCTTTGATATGAGATTTAAATTAATATAAAAAAATTAATAAAAAAAGATAAACTTTATTGACAGTGAAAAGTTAAAAGACTGAGTCATAAATGAAATAAAAGTTGAGAAATTAAGTTATAGTTAAGTCAAAAGTTAAGAGATTAAGTCAAAATAAATCATAATTGAAGAATTAATTTATAAATAAATTTAAAATTAAAAGACTAAAATATTAATTTTTTCTTGCTTACACGCGCAGGCGGACACAAAAACAAAGCTTAACTAAGTTGGATTTATGCCTCCAAACTTAACAAATATATTTACAGGTGGGCCATCAACAAGGTTCACATATTAGAGTAAAATTTGATCACATAACTTTATTAGTTATGGGTCAAATTATTACTAACTTTTGTTGATCGTATATTACCTATTTTTTACCTCAATTAATAAGACAATTTTAAAAGTGATTCAGTGTTTTAAAATATAAAATAATTTAATAAAAATAAAATTTTATTAAATGTATTTTTACAATATTATCCGTTTCTCCTCGTTATATTCTCTCTTATTAAGTGAAGAATTTTTTAAAATTTTATATTTTTATTTTTTAAAAAAAGACTATAAAGTATATTTCATAAGCTTTTTTATATGTATAATTTTATCTAAAATTATCTTACAAATTAAGACAGGAAAATATTATATCCATCTAATTATTACATAACAATAACAATTTTTTTATAAGCTCTTAAGTCTTAACTCTATATATTTTTTAATATCTGCTATTGTCATAGTAAAACTTTTTTATATAGTGGATAAACTTTCAGTTTTTTGAATTTGGCTTTGGCTTAGTTATTGACTAATGTCATATAAGTTTAATTGTTATCAATTTAATAGCTTCTACATTTTTTTAATTTATCATATTAATTCTTTAAGTTTTAAAATATAAATTGATTCTCAGATTAATCAATAATTTATCAAGTATGTTGGTAACTTAACACACACACATGAGAACAAAGTAACATTTAAATCAATTTAATTGTTTTAAGCCTAGACCCTCTGATATGTTTTGTTATTTTGTTTCTAGAAATTTTTGAGCCTGATTTTTCCTACCTAAATAATTACACAAATTATAAATAATTTACATGGATGGATGTGATCAATATTCCATTATCTATATTGGTAAATTTTAACAGTGTTATGTTTTCTATGAATAATAAGTATTAAATCGATAACTTAGATAAATTTAAAATATCAAATCAATAAAAGCAAAAAATTTGGGATTAAACCAACAGATAAGACTAACTTCAAGACTAAAAGTTTTAAATATCTTTAATTATATATAAGGATGGGTAAACTGGTAATCCACCTTTGACAGCCCAAAACAAAGCCGTTCAATTGAAATGCTACTCTTAACATTCCAACAGCTCTAAAATTTTTCAAAGGTTGAGACTGAGTCTGAAGCGTCATAAAACTAGTTTAACAAAGAAATACTAACTGAAGGCAGAGCACTGGTAAATTAAACGACACTGGGCAATTAATTAGGCAACATCTAGTCTTCATGAACAATGACCTGTAAGAATCAGACTTGTAATTAATGAAGACATGCACAGAAGCGAGGGTGAAGAGAGGTTTAATATATACCAGGATCGCTGGAATCTGCAAGTTCTTGTGACGAGGAGCTGGTAAGAAGGATGAAGAAGAAGAAGAAGGAAGCAAGCACATGCAAGACCAGAAGCCATTGTTGAGTCGCCTTGGTCTTCATGTTCTTGTTTTGAGTTTGACGGCAAGAGAATCAAGCCGCCGAAGCCCGTTGTAGTGGGTGGTGGTTTTTCAGTACAAATATAATGACTCTTGGAACCAACAAGGTGGTGGCTATGGCTATCATTTGTTGGAATATTTTGGCGTTAATTATTTGACATCGACAGCCATATTCCGCAGCTTTTTCTCCTCCTCTATCTTCACCCGGGCCACAAAACGACACGTACTGTCAGGTTGTCTTTCTTTCTTTTGGTTTTTGTTTATTTTCGGGCCACTACTGTCAGTTTCTGTGTCGACTCATCATCTTTAAACCACGATATTTATTTTGGTGAGCTAAAAAGATCAATTGACAATGTTTTTAATAATGTTTCCCTCATTTATTTACTCCCTCCATTAAGAAATTATATGTTTAAAATATAAAATATTTTTAATTTTTTAATATATAATTATTATTTTTTAAAAATATTCTTATTGATGAATAATTCTATATTTATTATAAGATATTTAATAGAGATAAATATAAAAAGATAGGTTTAATTTAAAAAGAGATAACTACTTTACTAAAAATAAGATTTAGTTAAAAATAATTTATATTTTTAAATTGAGAGAGTGTGTGTTTTCAGAAAACATTTATGCAGAAATTGTATTAATTAGAGTTTTTACATGATGGGTATACATGCAATAACCTTTCCCGTCTATATGTAAAAATCAGTTTTAATTATCTTTTTCTTAAGCTAGGGATAGATAATTAAATTATTAACATTGTCTAAAAAAATAAATTCTTCAAATTTATTCTTATTAAATACAACACATTTACAAAACCATTTTGTCTCTCATAGGAGAACATTAATTCTATTTATTCAAATTTTAAAAGGGTAAAATTTAAAAAAAAATTGATAATTCATCTTCTTTTATATGAAATAATTTTATAATAAGGACTATTGATTTATTTTAAGAATAATTTATAGTATTTTGGATGGATAGGAACAGAGGGTTAGTCTTGGAGAGGATTTTCTCTTCTCTCTTTTTTCTTTTTTTTTGCCATTAAAATTAATATTTTGGACAATTCAAATGTGACGTTTTATAAAATCTATATTTTGATTTATTTTTTATTTTATTTTAAACTATTTAAATTAAATTTTAAAATTTTGAATTTAATTATTTATTTATTATTATACTCCCTTCATCTCTATATATAGTGTTTTTTAAAAGTTTATTTTGTCCATAAACATAAAAGATAATAATGACAATTTTACCCTTATCTTAAAAAATAAAATAAATAATTAATTATATGTTTTTCCAACCACTATCTGATATTAATTATGATATTATTAAGGATAAAATTAAAAAATTATTATATTTTTATGTAAATTCAATTAAATAATAAAATTTTATTAATATGTAATATTTAATTAAAAATATTTTACATACAATGATAGAGGAAGCATTTGAATGCTCGCTAACAATAATTTTAAGAATTAAATTAAAATAGTCTCAATCTTAATTTAATTATTAGGTAAGAAAGATGAAAGGTGACGAAAAGGAAAGAACCGATGGCCCCGATGCTCATCATGATGGTTGTTGGAGATGTAAGACGTCAGCATTCCGCGTCAGCTATTTGCCAATGTGTGACCTATGTTGGTTGACGTAAGGAACAATGACCGACTATTTTTTTTTTAAATCAAACAAATAATCACTTTTTTCATTTAAAAATATAAAATATTTTTTAAAAAATTAAATATTTAAAAATATGAAACATTTTTAATTTTTGAAGTATAATTATTATTTTTTTAAAAGTACCCCTATTAATAATAACTTTATATTTATCATAGAATAATGATAAATATGAAAAGATAAGATTAGTTTTAAAGTAGGTAACTACTTTATTGGGGGTGAGAGATTCAGTTAAAAATGCTTTATATTTTAAACGGAAGAAATATTATTAAAGGACATTTTTACATTTTTTTTAAAAATAATTAATATCCTTATGGCTCAAATTTAGCAGCAGATTATACCTATGTGAAAAAATCTTGGGAAAATTGCAATTACAAATCTTGCAAAGATATTAATCACAATTAAGAATCTTAAATTATTGAAATACTATTTTTGATCCAAAATATAACCATTTCTCTTCAATTAATATTGGTTTAAAATAAAGCAACTTAGTAAATATAAAAAAATTTAATTTTACCCCTTATATATATTAACTCATCATACAGTACATTTGTAATTAAAATTGTGGTAAAAAGAGAAAATAATATATATATATTTTTATAAAATAAAAACTTTATTGATATGCAATTTTTTTTTAAAAATTACTTATATTTTAGACTAGAGGGAGTATCATGGGAGGCCCATGATTTTGATTTCTAATTTAAAAATAGATTAAAATATACAAAATTTTCAAGTTAGCAAAATAGCTAAGAAATAATGGTAGGGAAGTGTGTGGGGAAAAAAAAGGTTACAGAAATTAATTTTAAACTTTTAAAAATAAGAGATACATCTGCTTTAAACTTCAAAAGAGTTGTGAATTTTATTTATTTTAGCTTAAAAATAAATAATTATAAACAATCAATGGAATGTGACTCTTGAATTTAAGTAAAGCTAGTTATGAATTTAATTAATATTAGTTGTCAATCAATGAAAAGTCGATTGTGAATAAATAGATTATTTTAAGAATTTCATATATCATCACTTACAAATGTAAGGATAGTTACTTATAAAATTTATAACAAAAAAATTTAGTTGTGAATGAATAAATAATCTCATAAATTTACACATCACTTGGCATTCAAAGATAATTAATTGTAAATTTAATGAATATTACTAACTTCAATTGTGAATGGACATGATTATTTATAATATAAATCAATAATTTATGTCTATTACAATTGACTTTCTATAAATTTAAAAATAACTTTTTAAAAATTCATAATTGGTTCTCCTTAAATTCACAAAGTGGAGACGCATATAAATTGTAAAACTATTTAGGGTAAAAGAATAAATTGACCCATAAATTATAGGTCTAAGAACATTTAAGATCTTAAACTTATTTTTGATGTAATGTTTCTCTTTAATTTTTAAAAATGATATAATATAACTCCTATTATTATCAAAAATTAACCTAGTAGTTACCAGAAAATGACAAAAAAAGACTTCAAAATTATAAAAAAAACAAAAATTATGAAATTTGACTCCATGGAGATTTCATGTGATATCAAGTATTAAATAAAAATTTTGAACTGTAAATTATAAATTCTTACCTATAAATTATGAAGTTGTAATTGTAAGTAAAAGCTAAATTAATGGGAATAATATTATCTTTGTACCTCAATCTCAAACTATCATTTCTAAATTTCACAGAGCTTATTCATAAATAATTTTGTTATACAAGACTTATTAATAATTTTTTTTAATTTTATAAAAATATTTTTAGTTCTTATTAGTTTAATAATGTTACTTTTAATTGATTATTATTATGTGTCAATCATTATTATTTTAAAAATTTAAAGATAATATATGAACTATGAGAATGTTTTGTTAATATTTATAAATTTTTTTAATAAAATTAACAATATTAAGATTAAAAGAACACTTTATAAATTTAAGAGAGTAAAGTTAAACCACTTACAGTCTAGCTTAAATGTAATTTTAAACTTTTTTTCAATTAATATATATATATATATATATTAAAAAAGTGAAAAACCGCATTTACTATCACGGTGTCAAGAGCATGTTTTGAAGGGATAGGTTTTTCTGCACTATTTTTTCACTGTAAATCTAAATAATTTAAATTAAATCTGTACTTTTAAACATTATCAAATCTAAATATCAAGTCCAATCTAACGATTTAAATTTACAATGATTCCTCCAACTCCTGTTTTGGAACAACTCAATATTTCCGACTCAAAATCGTAGAACCTCTTTGACCACTTTTTGTTTTGGGCAGTCGGTAATTAAATGGCATTCCCAACTGATTTTGCTTTGCTTTTCGATAAAAGGAAAAAAAAAAAAGATTTTGCTTTGCTTTGTTTTCAATATATTTTTAATCGACACTTTCTCTGTTTTTAAATATAAGAGAAATTATTTATTATTTTTTAAACAAAATTATAAATTTTAAGAATCATTAATTATATTTTTTGAAATTGTCCCTCATAAATGGATAATATCATCAAATTAGAGGGAAAAAGTAAACATTAATTATAAAGGTATTTTAGTTCAGACATTTTAATTTCAGACATAATTATTAAAAATAATTTTGTTGAGATGCAGAATACAACCATTTGAGCTGTTTATGGAGCACATAGGTGAAATCCTTTAAGTTCGTGTTCTCATAATCCGATTTAGCCCACGTGATCGTTTGCAAACTTCTAATAAACTTAAGCGTACAGTTTACAAATGAGTCTACTAGAATAAAATCCGACATATAATGCAAACAATTCGATTAAGGCAAACACATAGATTATCAGTTAAGAGAAATTAATTATATGTAATGCATGACTCATCAAACAGTCTTACCTAACAGATGGTGGTGAGTGTGATCCACACTGATAAAAACTTGTATCAAATGTGCTGCTTGAGAATAAACTGCTGCTTTCTTCACTTTCATTGTTCGTTTCCAGAGCCAGACACTGCTTCAGATCATTCTCTACATTATTGATATCAGGTCTTTTCACTGCACTTGTTTCAATGCAACACATGGCTATCTCTATAACCTTTCTTGCTGAAGCAATATTGAATTTTCCCTCTAATTTTGGATCCATAATGGATTCCATATCTCCCACTTTAAACTTTGGAGTCACCCAATCAACTATGTGATTTATACCTTCAGATGTTTTGATGATAGCTGGTCGTCCGGTCATCAACTCAAGTAGAATTATCCCAAAACTATAAACATCACTATTCTTGTGCAAGTTCCCGCATCTGTGAAATCTGTAAATTTTAAGATTAATTAGCCATTTTTGAAAAAATTAATTAAGCTCAACAAATATTTTATTTTCAGACTTCCAATTAGAAAATGTGTTATTCAATAACATACTCAGGGTCAAGATAGCCAAATGTGCCAGCAGGACGAGTTGAAATATGGGTATCAGTATCACTAGCAAAAACTTTACAGAGTCCAAAATCAGCAATCTTGGCATGCATGTTTTCACTCAATAAGATGTTAGATGATTTTAGGTCTCGATGAACTATTGGTGGGTTGCAACCATTATGTAGATAGTTCAATCCTGGAACATATAATTCCTTTGAGCAAATTAAATAACTACTTAAGCTAAATTAAAACATAAAGAAAATAAAAAAAATTAAACAAAGGAAAATGGATGGCTAATGCAATGATAAGAAAGAAATAAGAAGTCTACATAGCACATACCACATGCTGCATCGAATGCAATTTGAAGTCTCTCTTTCCACTTTATAACATAAGGGCTCTTACCTACAAAACATTATTCATGTTGAACTGACACTGAATAATTATGTTATAATTGTAAAGAATTTGGAAAATAATTATAAGGCCTAACAAACCTGTCAATAGGTGTAGGAGATTTCCCTTTGCCATATATTCATAAATCAATGCTTTCATGTCACCATCGTCACAGTAACCGATAAGAGAAACTAAGTTTTTATGATAAACCAATGATAATAGCTTTGCCTGCAATTAATTTGAACCTTATGTAATTATCACAATAAATTAAAATAAACGAAACGTCTGAGTACCTAACACTATTAGTGATTAATAACAATGAGATTTTGATCACTACCAACCTCTGATTCAAACTCGGTAAATCCTTGGTGTGATGACTTGGACAGTAATTTGACTGCAACTTGGATACCATGTTGTAATTTTCCAAGGTACACTTTTCCAAATCCGCCTTCACCAATTACTGATTCAAAGTTATTGGTCATACTAACAACTTCTTCCAGACTAAATGCTTGACATTTTGATCTAAAATCACCACCCTTCTTAGGCAACATCGCTGCCACAAAGAACATGAGATTAACAATATATGTTAAGACACTGGTTTAATAGTTCAACTAAGTTAACCTTTATTCCAAACTATGGATTTGGTTAACTGAATTTGACATTTATATTTTAAAAACTAATATCAAAAAAATATTTAACAACTTTCACATAAAACTCTCCATCCCCCACATTACATTGGACCCAAAAAAGAATACTAATTAAGTAGGGACCTTCCCGAATGAATGTCGAGAAAATGAATCCAAAGTGATAGGAATGGAAAGGGTTAGAACATCAGAGGATGAAATTCACAAATCCTCATGAGATGTTTGGATGAAGAGAAAAGTAAGAAGAGAATGCCGGGAGAAAAAAATAATTCCAAATTTTTTTATACTATTTTCAGGAGTTTTTCTTCCTGATATTCTTTTAATTCCTTTCTATTATGGTCCAAATAATTCAATATTGAAAATAAAAGGAAATATAAAAAGATTGATGAAAAGTGGTATTTGGGAACCTTCCGTACCATTTTGTGGTTTTCTTTTCCGTTTGCAGAGCATGATAGGAATAAAAATTGCTATCAGAAGAACTGCCGCAGAAGCTATTGCTGAGGCAACAAGTGGTCCAATGAGCGTTTTGGTTTTGCAAGAGCTAGCTGTGTGACAGAGACCTGGATTTCCATCCAAACTAACAACACCAGTATATGCAAGTGTCAGTATACCCACGTGATCAAGTGCAAGTGCAAAGAGAAATAACAACACCCTTTCGGAATAAACAAGTTCATTATACTGAATTGACAATGCAGATTATTGCTGCTATCAATTTTCTCTTCAATTTTAGGAGTACTTAGATATATAGTTGACCAGAAAAACTTAATTTCAGTTCAGTCTTTAGTATTTTTAATTTGGAATTAATTTGTAATCATCTATCTTATGTGGGGCTTTACATGAAATTACCCCTATTATGTTTTAATTTAAGCTATATAGAAGGCGTGAAGGAAATTGAAATGAAGAACGAATGAAGAATGTAATAATTCTTTTGAATATATATTCTCATTATGATCAGACGAAGGGCTATTCTATGATGTAAAGAAGGCAACTGCCTACCTAGAATGAATTTCAAGAGATTTTAAATGGAACGAAAACAAAACAAACCTCAATGTCAAGCCGGATTTCTCCTCCAGAGACTCAGGAACTAAACCTATGAGATCATTTCCTGTCAAATTACTGCAAATATATCACGTACGTGAGATGAATTGGAAGACTTGGTGAACAAGATATACAGAATATATATGATAGCTATGATGCCAAAGTATTGCAACTCACAGCACTTTCAAATTGGCTACTTTTGCTAAAGATTCTGGTATTTCTCCAGTCAGTTGGTTGTTTGACAAGTCCCTACATTAATGGAAAACTCATTATTACAAGATGACAAACAATGCCACGAGTTTGTATTTACATAGATGATACTTACAATGACTCCAACATGTCGAGTTTGGAGAAAATAGTACCCATAATCTCTCCATCTAGTCTGCTTGAGCTCAAGTTCCTATTCATTCATTAGAAAGAATGAATTTTTTTGCAGTTATAATAATACAAGCAAAGAAAAAGAGAGAGATTGGGAGACAGCTCTTTTTCTGCTAGCTTGATGATATAAACGTATCATTAATTAACAACATTATGTACGAAAGACCACCACTTATACTCACAATGAAATGATCCTTGGAATGCTACCAGAGTAATTATTGCAAGTTACACCTTCCCATCTATAATCCTCTGGCATGCAGGGATCTCCTTGCCAACTGATTCTCATGATGTTATAACCGTGTCTGATATTCCTCATCGCATCAACTGTATTTAATTTCCGATGGAGTTTCAGGGTTAATTAATCAATTGTAAACATCAAGAAAAATAACCCTTGTGATGACCTTTATTTAATTGGGAAAAATATATATGAAATACTGTAGAAAATTTCTGAAGGAAGCAGATCGGTTACACTTGCCATCTCCTTCACGTGTTGGTGAATTTTGTTTGTGTCGTACCCTGTAGATCTCAAGATCGTTGACGATGGGGGGCAGAGTAGAACCTGGGGAGGAAGTGATGGAAATATTAGTAAGAGAGAGTTCTCTTGGAATCCGATGAACGATGGTTTGGAGTTGCAAGTATTCAAGAGTGACGTTGTTGTCTCGGATTGAATCAGTGAAGGCAATGTCCATACTTCTCTGCTGATTCTGAGAATGTTTCTCAAATTCAAAGAAATGAAGATAAACATAATACTCATGATTTGTGCTAGCATTCACGTTGACAACTAATGGAAACGAACTATTCAGTGGTGTGATTGCAGTGCTCAACACTTCCTTTGGTAGTTTGTACTCTTTGGAATCATCGTCAATCGCTATTGATGTGCTGATTGGCCGTGAGTTTTTGGTGTCTTTGTCACCCTGGAACCAAGACCTACCGTACGGATCATTCGGGTACCTGCATTAATATTATTTGAACAAAACACATTAATCAAATTTGGCATATTTATATCCCCATAACTAAATGAATCATTATAAAAGAAGAATGGCAAAAGAAATCATGTTTTACTTTGTTATGAGCATAAATCTAGGGAAAGAATTCATTCCAAAAGAATATCTTAGTAGGTAAAAGAGTTTGACACTTAACTCCTCAATCGGTTTCTCAATAAAAGCGCCAATGTTACGAGCACAAATTTAAATAAAAAACTGCCCATTCCAAAATATTAACATATTAGGTGGAAGATTCTGTTAAACATATAAACAATACTTCTCTTATGAGGTTTTTCGATGAGAAACTCCTAATATTTTTTAATCCCGATACAATTAGTTTTATTAAAAAAATGCAAATATTTGGCTTTCAAATTATTATTAAATACTGACATGTTAGGTTTAATTAACAAGGATTAACACGCAAAAAAAAAAAAAATCATTTGAGATGACTAATGGTGTCAAGAGTTAGATAATTAATTAAAAAGATAGTTTATACAATTAAGGATCTACTCATAAGAGTGAGTTAAGAGACACAAGTGAAAGCACCTGACGAAATCGAAACGTTCGGTCATGCCAAAGTTACGGCGTGTGGTGAGTGCAAGGGGGAGTAAATTGGGAGTCGGCTGATATAGCTTTATGGGCAAAGGCCAAAGCTCTAACGAGGAAATGAATGGTGTTCCTTGTCCTTTGTTTATCAGACACACGTCAATGTGGTCAGACTGGGCAACGTGAATCACCTCGGATCTTACAACATCACTAGAATCACTTAAATAAATTGTTGTCCAATAATTGACACCAAGGTGCAGATCAAATGTTGGAATTGAATTGTTTTTGTCATAGTTTCCATATTTGAAGAAAGCCCTTATGAGATATTTGTTACCTCTGCCTTGTTTGGGTGCGAGTGTATAGCAGTTCCTTTGCCCTTCAGGAAAGCTTCTCAACGTGTTGAGTTGCTGCCAACTCTGTTCTTCATCACTTGTCAAGGTATGCTCAGAGGATACACTATATACTTTCCCAGATTCTACAAACGGTGAACCATCTGCCTCATAATGGAAATCATTGTTGTCCCAACTCTCTGGGGTCAACCCACAATCTATGCTCATGGCTCCTGCTATTAGATATATCTTAGATCAAATGATAAGATAGTGGAAAATGAATGAGATTGTTTATGCATGGCTATATGATGGTAAACACATTAATGCATTTCAGTATGTCACTACGTACTCAAGTCATGTATAGAAGAATATGTTTCGAATTGAAAATCAGGTCAAGTTCTTGCCTGAATCATTGCTGTCATCATCTGCAGCAACTTGTACTGAGTGGCTAAAAAAGATGAATGAAACAAACGCATACAAACCCAGAATCCACAGTGGCGTGCTCTTCATGTTATCAAGTTTATACGATCGAGAAGAGGAAAAATAGAACTAGAAATCATCTGGGTAGCTTAATTCACTGGCTCTGCTTTCAGTAGCAGCAAATTAGTATAAAAACTAAATGCAACAGTTCAACTGATTTTGAATGGTAAAGTGCCTTACGTAATTACTTAAAAGGATAAGAGATTTCCAGAATATAATATGAAAGATCCTGTTATATAGTTCATATTATCTCACAAATTGACAACATAATTATAGTTGGACTGGCTCTCCATGCATTTAAAAATTAATTATTTGATGGTTCATTAAGCTAGATTTTGTTACTAAGGCAACTTATTACTATTAATTTTATACTTTATGTTGATATTAATATTGATGGTCCCTTTCTTTGTGATAAAAAAAAATATTGGTTGTCCCTTTACTGTTTTTTTTTTTTAACTTTTCCACCATGATTTCTTACATTTTTCTATTTTTGAAATCACTAAAAATAAAATATAGTATTTAAGAATAAACTACATTAAATTAGTATTATAAGAAAATATAATAACTAAATAAATAATTTTTTACTGCTCGCAAGTATCCTATTATTGAAGTCAATCCTATTCAAAGTGTACTTTGGCAAAATATAAACACATCTCTTAATAGGGATTCAATTATTGGTTTGTCATATTGTAAGGGATTAATACTTTCTACTAGATCCAATCTCATTAGTAAATAAATAATTTTTAGAAAAAAATTTATATACACAGTCTTATATATTTAAGGTATTTGTTTCTAATTAAATCAAAATAAGTATATCATTTATAGATTATTTATTTTATAATAAATTCTTGTTATTAATACTATTAACATATTAAAATTTATTTGTTTTGATTTTATTATCTAAAATTATATTATGCATATAAGATTAAGTATGTAAGTCTTACCTTAATTTTTAATTGAACCGAAAATTACTGTGGTGGCTCAGATTTGGACTTGACCTTAACCTTAAATTTGGGCCAATTTCTTGTCGGTTATCTCAATTATTTGTGCACAATATATATATAGATACCGATAAGTTAATTTTTGTGAGTTGACTATCTACAACAAAAATTGCAACGGAAATTAAATTTGTGACAAAAAAATCCATTGTAAACAGATTTGTGATGGACTATCTAGCAGTAAAATAGGGGAATCTAATGACGGATCCATCACAAGAATTTTGCAATGAATTAAAAAATGCCTGCAATGAATTTTTTTTGATATATTTACGTAATTATAGTAGTTGCAAAAAGACAGTTGGGAAGAATTTGTACATCACTGGTCTGAAATTCTAAATAATTAATAAAATAGAAATTTCTTTCCCCTTCTGGAAAACTTCTAAAAACTTAAAAATAAACCAAAAAAAAGCTCTGTTTTTCCTCTGTAGGAACAGCACCAGAACATCTATTTGCCAATAAAATCAAAGTCGGTTGCAATATTGATTCCAAATATTTAAATATTCTGTCCGGTTGATACAGATTATATAACGTCTTAATTAATTAAGAAATTTCTCAGGGATGCTTGGATCTTTCATAAGGATGAAGTATATATGAACACAACCAAGAGTAGGAATGGAAATCATAATTATAAAATGAAGAATGAAATACAGAAAACGTGAAGTTAAATTACCAGCCAACCTATAGCTAAACTTATTTGAGCTTCTGAGTGTGTGTGTGTGTGTGTAGAGAGAGAGAGAGAGAGAGAGAGAGAGTTCATGCGTTTAGAAAATTTTAAAAATGGTGGAGAGCTCACCTGAAACTGAAACATGACCATCTGCAACAATTGGAGCAGAATTGCAAAAGAAGAAATATATAAGTTGAGACCAAGATCCCACAGAATGATTATTAATTAATTAATTATCATTGAAGCATACCACTCCATTCGTGCCTTTTTATAAGAGGCTTTTTGCACTCCTGGTAGGATTTATAAAATATTTTCAGATATACCCCTTTATAAATGATCAATTGAAAAAAAAAAAAAAAGACATGTTGAGTCATGCAATAGAAGATGGGATTGAAAAAAAATTAAATAATTAATAATCTGATTAGGAACTTTAAACCTCATATAATTGAGGTAAAGCGCTGCTTTTTATTGTGAAAGAAATCATACTCTGAACAAAAAGGATAGAAATGTGTGGTTTGAAGCAGTGATCCTATACGTTGCCAATGCCAAAACGAAAAGAAAAGAAAAAAAAAATCAGGCAAGTGAGTTGTCAAATTCAAGCAAAACAAAAGAAAAAGGTGACTTTTTTTTTTTTAAACCTAAAAAAGGTTACTCTTTCCTTTGGCCCAAAAAAAGAGGTTACACTGAGGCATGATGAAATGTGAAGAACGTTGTGGTGACTTAGTAATTTATTTTTTATTTCAGAAATATGCTGGTGTAAGATTTCTAGGCATTTTTTCATGCACTATATATAGATAATGTAGCTAGCTTGTTTGTGTGTGTGTGTGTTATTGATTGTTAAATTAAGATTTTAATTTCTTTTCATTATTGAATTTTAATGTCAACACTGGCAAAAATTGCAGTAGCAAATTGACAAGGGTTGCTCCTAATAATTGTTATATGTTTAGGGATTTTAAAAGTGATATAATTTGAGATGATAACTGGGTTTTTTTTTTATAAAGAAATGGCATATTCTTTGTGGAAAGATAAGAAATATGTGGTTTGAATGAGTGAATGTATGAATTTTGGCTAAAAGAAAGAAAGAAAAGGAAGTGGACTGAGTTGATGTCGTTGGCTTGTTGCTATAGTGAGAGGCAAAATATATAAAAGAAATAAAGGTGATGGTTTGGCTAAAAGAAAGAAAGAAAAGGAAGTGGACTGAGTTGATGTTGTTGGCTTGTTGCTATAGTGAGAGGCAAAATATATAAAAGAAATAAAGGTGATGGTTCTAGTGAGTTGTATCTTGACTGCAACTTGCGTGCACGGCTTTGAGATTTTTTCCCAAAATATAGATGTTAAAAATGTTTAAGTGCGAGTAAAGTTAAATTGATACAAAAAGCCTCATGTAAGATAGTATTGATTTTAATAAGTAATATACGAATCAAATGAAAAAACAACACATGTTAATTCAAAATTCAAGATTTAAATTTATGCATTCTCGTGATCTGTTTCTTGCAAATAATATTAGAGATGGGTGGATTTGAGTTGATGTAAAAAGTTTTAGATAAAATTGAGTTTGATAAGTAATATATAATAAAATAGAAAGATCTATAGACTCAGTTGTATTACACTACACTTTTTTTAAAATCCTTAGTTAAATAGAGTTTATAATCTTTTTACGTGACATTAAACTGTGAATGTGTGGGCATATAGTTGGTCAATATTTTTAAAGCCTATTCAACTAGCTGCTAGCTGGACTTTTATTTCAAGGAATCAAACTAAACTCATTTGAATCATTCTCAATTTTATTAGTTTTTATCGTCGACTTAATCAATGGGGCTTGAGTCTTCCTTTTTTCATATATAAAAAATAGCTGTTGAATTTTTAACGGTTTATATATAGTGGAATAATAATTTATACAGTTTGATCAATAAAGCATTAAAAAATATTGTAATCTTCAGAATACTGAATTGTTTTACGGGCATTTTGCATGTCTATATATCTCAAGTCTTTTCTTAATTTCCACTTCAAAACATTTGAGTTTTTCTCTGCAACAAGCAAACATATTGATTTCCAGTCACTTAAAAATCAATAAAATAAAGAGAACATGTGGATGATATTACGAAATATGATCTTAATTGATACCTCTCAAACTTTCTTACTTCAGATTCGGTGCAATTTCTCACATTAGCCTAATTAAAAACAACATATACAAAACCTTCAATGCATATACATCTGTATATAATGGCTTGGCTCAGCTCTATTCTGTCATTTGCAAATTTTCTCTCTCTGTCCGCTTGAACCAAACATAACTTCATAGAAAAGTGTTTGTTAGAATAAAGCAAACAAACAGTTTGACTAAGCAAAACAAATCTCTCTGCTGGGATTGGATATAATCAAATTCGGAGAAAGACCATGCCTCTACAGATAATCCTACCTAGCAGATGGAGGTGAGTATGACATTCCAGACTGAGAATAACTTGAATCCAATGTTGTGCTTGAGATTAAACTGCTGCTTTCTGCACTTTCAAGTGATGTTTCCATGGCCAAACATTGCTTTAGATCAATAACAACACAACTTATATCAGGTCTTTGGATTGCTATTGGTGCTATGCAAGACATGGCAACCTCTAAAAGCTTCCATGCTGAAGCTGTGCTGAATTTTCTTTCTAATCTTGGATCCACAATGGCTTGGATATCCCCAATCTCAAGCTTTGGATTCACCCAATCAGATATGTGACGTGTGCCTTCTGATGTTCCAGTTATTGCTCTCTGGCCAGTCATTAGCTCCAGCAGAATTATTCCAAAACTATAAACATCACTTTTCTTGTTCAAGTTTCCAGATCTATGGAATCTGTAAATTTTGCAAGATTGATTAGTCATTGAAGAAATTAATTAAGCTAAACAGATAGTCTATTTTTAAATATCAATACAATGCTACATTTCAAACCTGTGGATTACTTTAAGTTGCAATTATATATGTGTGGCTAGATGGGTTTGAATGATGAACATAATGCTCATAAGCTATTCTATTAAAAGATAACAAAATTTATAATATAACAACATACTCAGGGTCGAGGTAACCAAATGTGCCTACTGGTCGAGTTGAAATATGACTATCAGTATCATTGGCAAAAGCTTTAGATAGTCCAAAATCAGCTATCTTGGCTTGCATATTTTCACTTAGCAAGATGTTAGAAGATTTAAGGTCCCTATGAATTATTGGCGGCTTACAACCATTATGTAGATAGTCCAATCCTACATTTCCATTGACCGAGTAATTAAGGTGAATACATAAAAGTTATAATAAAGGTAAAAAATTAAAATATCAACTGAAAGATAGGAAAATGAGCTGCCAATACAATGATAGGAAAGAAATAAAAGTCTACAAACCACATGCAGCATCCAATGCAATTTGAAGTCTTTCATTCCACTTCAAAACATTTGGGTTGTTATCTGCGAAACATTCATATTGTGCAAAAAGAAAAAGTCAAGCATTCTTGCAAATTAATTAATTCTATGGTAGACATTTTAGAAACTTGCAAACTCTGTTGGGGTAAATCATAGAACGACTAGTCACCTAAATCAAAAATAAAATAACACTGCAGTAATAATTCTAGTGAGAAAATTGTGGAACTGACATCAAGTTGTTCTTCAATTGTAATAGATAAGCTTGGAAATTTAAACTTAACAAACCTGATAGAAGGTTCCGGAGATTTCCCTTTTCCATGTATTCATAAATCAGTGCTCTCATGTCACCATCATCACAATAGCCAACAAGAGAAACTAGATTTTTATGATAAATAAGAGATAACAAATTTGCCTGCATTAATATTGAACCTTATCTTTATGGTAATTTATTAATATAATATAATATAATATAAAAGAAATGGTTGAAGATCCAAAATAATTAATTAATGACTTTCATCACTTCTAACCTCTGATTGAAACTCATCAAACCCTTGCTGCGATGACTTAGAGAGTAACTTGACAGCAACTTGTGTAACATCTTTTAGTCTTCCAAGGTACACCTTTCCAAATCCCCCTTCTCCAATTTCAGTTTCAAAGTCTTTGGTAATTCTATGAAGTTCAGCTTGAGAAAATCCTTGATTCTTTAATCTAATCTGATCATCTTTCTTGACCAGCATCACTGCGGCAATGTACATATAAAATTCAATAGCATTTACGAAAGAATACTAAGCAAGGTAGACCATGAATACATACATACTTACATATACAAGAAAAAGGGACCATCTATACATAATATACTGATTAAAGGACCAATTTACAAAACTTTTCAAAGACACATGCAAGAAAAAATAATACAAAGAATTGAAGGAAAGTGGGGCACTTGATCACCTTTGGAATCACTATGATGTTTTCTTTTATGTCTGCAGAGCATCAAAGAAATGTAGACTATTGTTGTAAGAACTGCCACAGAAGCTACGGATGCAACAAGTGGTTTTATGAACTTCTTTGTAATGGCTTTGCAAGAACTTGTCTGACAGAGACCAGGATTTCCATCCAAACTAGGAAAATATAACATTAATATACAATTGTCAGTTTTAACGTATGAGTAGTAAACTGATGATTTGTATATTCATCAATATTGGCAATATAAGAAAATGAAGACTACATTTACGCTATAATCATCACATAAAACATGAAAAATGAAAGAAAACTGAACTGATCACAGTTTTCAATTCTTTTGAACAGTCTTATTCTAAAAAAGAAGGAAAAGCAATCCGTATAGAGAATGCAACTGCTGAGTAATAATTGCACACACCCATCCATATTTACATAAGGAAACACACACACCCCTTCCACACCTACTCTGGTTCAAATCCACAATTTTTCCCTTTCATATGGTGCAGAGGTGCCATTGTGGTAAATGAGTTTTAAGAGTTTGTATTGAACATGAACATACATTAAAGTTAAACCAGTAGTTGACTTGTCCCTCAGAGCCTTGGGAATCGAGCCTGTGAGATTATTCCCTGTCAAATTGCTGAATAATGCATCACGTGAGATAAATTGCAGGACTTTTCAAACAAGAAGAGAGTATTGCTATGCTCAAGTGTTGCAACTCACAGCAGTTTCAAATTGGGTAGTTCTGCTAAAGATTCCGGTATTTCCCCTGTTAATTGGTTGTTCGACAAATCCCTTCAATGCGAGACTCGTTATTACCATCACATATAGTCATTGCATCTTTATAATAGGAAGTTGACCTTGCATAGATGATACTTACAAGGCCTCCAATGTCATGAGATTAGAGAATGAAGTAACAATCTGTCCCGCCAATTTGCTTGAGCTCATGTTCCTTTTACAGATTGTTGACAATGAAAATGTTGCCAAGAAAAGCACAAGCAAAGAATAAGAGAGATTGAAGTCAAAGCAAAGACAAACACGACAGGTGATACTCTTGAATGAGAATGTTCGTTTAGCTATTTGGTGAAGTTCATTTTCCATGAAAACTATCATGCATTACAACTCTGAGAATTATAAAAGATCAAAAGACCATTGCTCACAAAGAAGTGACCCTTGGAATTCTCTCTGAGTAGTTGCAAGTCACACCTGCCCATCTATAATCTATCGGCATGCAGGGATCACCTTGCCAGCTGATTCTCATGATGTTATAAGCATGTTTGATATTCCGCATAGCATCAACTGTTAAATGGAAGTAACCTTGTGATCATTTGCATGGAAGAAACTATGAAATATGGCAGAAAATTGTTGAAGAACAACATATTTTTGGCTTTAATTGATTAAAAAAAAAAAAACAACTTAGATACGATAAAGCAAACAGAGAAGATATACTTGCCATCTTCTTCATGGGTTGGGGTATTTGGTTGGGGCAGTGCTCTGTAAATCTCATAGGCATTGATCATGGGGGGTAAGCTAGAGCCTGGGGTCGAAGTGATTGAAATACCATTAAGAATAACCCCTTTTGGAATTTTCTTAACCAAGGTACGGACATCTTCGTGTTTAAGAGTTACAGGCTCTCGGATGGTATCAGTGAAAGTGATTTCCATGCTTCTTACCTCACCATTAGAATGCTCCTCGAAATCAAAAAAATGAAGGTAAATATAATGCTCGTTATCTGCTGTAAAATTAATGGAGGTCAAGTTGATATATAAGGAAGACGAAACATTCTGTGCTCGGACTGCAGTTTTTAACACATCACTTGGCAGCCTGTACTCTTTCACGTCAATGTTAATTCCTTCAGATGTGTATATTGGCTTTGAGTTGTCGATCTTTCCATTTAACCAGGACCTACCATAGATATCAGCTGCATATCTGCATAGATATTGCGTGAGGACATTAATTAATGAACTCTACTAATTCATCAAGAGCAATTATATAAATGAACACGTGCATGTCATGAGACACGTACCTGATAAATTTAAGGTTTTCGGACATGCCCAGGTTAACACACGTCATGAGGCCTAATGGGAGCAAACTAGAGGAGGCTCGATATATAGAGTTTGACAAAGGCCAAAGTTCCAACAACGATATAAAAGGTGTCCCTTTACCAACGTTGATAAGACAGACATCAATGTAGTTTGTTGGGGAGAGTTGAACGACTGTTTTTCGTCGAATATCAGTGACATTCTGGAACTTAATTTTTTCCCAAAAATTGACGCCAAGATGTAAATGAAAGTATGGAATGGAGTTTTTGTGGTCGTAGTTTCCATATGACATGTAAACCCTAATGAGATAGTTGTTGCATTTGCCATTCTTGGGTTTGAGTGTGTAGCAGTTTCTCACCCCTTCCGGGAAACTTCTCACTGTTTTCATTTGCTCCCAAACCTGTTCTTGGCTATTAGCATAGATGTCATCAGAGGACACGTTGTATATTTTGCCAGATTCTACAAACTCTGCATCATCTGCCTCGTGATGAAATCCATTTGAATCCTGACTTTCTTCAGTTACCCCACAATCAATGCTTATCTCCCCTAATTAAATTGGGAAGCAAATTTAGGAAGTGCCAAGACAAATGCATATGAATAATCAATATTAAAATATCTTGAAAACTTGTCATGAGCAGTATGGCTATATTTAATATAAACTGAAAATCTAAAAGAAAAATGAAACAAGGGTAGTAAGGGAAAAAATAATAAGCAAGATGTAGGGTTTAATTAAAAGTTTGAGATGATCGAAGAAAAGAAAAAAAGTGATATAAAAGTAAATTATATATATATATATATATATAAGTAACATATCTGATGCACTACTCCGAAAAATGTTTGATGATAAAATTAAATATATATTAAATAAATTGAAGTTTAAATTATATTGTCAGAATACAATTTAGTGATGGAAATATTAAAAATTTTTAAAATTTTCTTCCTCATCGTACAAATTCATCAAACATTAGCCAAATCCTAGTTTAGTGAAAGATCAACATAAAATATAAAACACATGGAAGCAAATTCTCTAAAGTTGAAAACATTTAATTTATGTGAACTTTTTTTTTGGTATTTTTTCATTTCATTTTTTTATAAAACATAAAATCTTCCATTTTTTTTAAGTTGTAAACTTCGTGAAATTTACTTTTTCAACTTTAGAGAATCATTCAAAACACAAAACAAATTACTCCTGCACTAACTACTTATAATAAGTGATGAATAGTATAATTCATCTTACACCTCATTCAATGCATAAAAATCATATGTAGTAAGATAAACTTATCTGTAGTAATATCAACATTTGTGAAGACGTACTTAGAATTTCGTCAAAATATAAATAATTTTTTCATATATTGAACTACACCAAAGGTTAGTTTTAAAATCGTAGTCTTTGTTCCAAAAAAAAAAATCATAGTCTATGGTAACCCTCATGAGCTTTTTGAAATGAAAACAGACCATAAAAACCAATCATAAATTTCCAACAAGTGTTAAAAATCACGAAGAAAAAAATAAGGAAAACATAATAATCAAACAAACCTTGAGACTGAGAGAATCTAAATTCCAATTCAAATTCTTTTGTGTGTGTGATTGTGTGATGAATAAATCGACGAGCTTACGGCCTGTATCAGTTTGATCATCATCAGAGGCAAAAACTTGTGCTGACTTTTGAAGATGGATGATCAATGAAGCAGGCACCACCAAAGCCAGAATCCAGAGTGGCCTGATCTTCATGGTTGCTCAAAGTTTTTAGGAAAGCGGAACACAGAATGAACTGAGGAGCATGAGATTGAGACCATTATCTGTTCATCTGTTGGGAAAAATTATGCACGACAAAGCATGCAATAATTGACCATTAATAATGTGTAATTAATAAATTTTTTTGCGAAAGTGTGTGTCGATCAGGAAGAAATAGGGGTTCAGAAAAAAGTGGGTGACAAAATCCAAAGAAGATAAAAATGTTGACTTAACCAGATTCCCCTTTTGACACAATGCTCCTAACAACCATTTTTTTTTTGGGCGATTCCAAACCACTTTTTTTTTTGTTGGGAGGGGGGTGGGACCATTCATTACTTTCAAATTTTTTTTCGTTAGTTTAATGCAGTTTATCAAATAATTTTTTATTAATTATATGGCTATCTATAAAAAATAAAATACGAAATTCACTTGTATTTAAATACTAATCTCTTATTTCAACGATAAAATGGTTATTATTTTGAATGAGTTTTAATTATCTTTATCTAGTTAAATTGAAAACTGATTGATTTTATTAAGAATACTCTACTTGTTATTTTTAATAAAGAATCAAAACCATTTAAAATATAAAACATTTTCTTCTTAAATAACACATAATAAACATAGTTAATCATTACAAATGATCAAGTTCCCATTGCTTCGATTCTAAATTTAATTTCCTGAGCACAGTCACTGAGGGTAGACTTCCCTTATAAAAGACAACGAGGTTAAAGTTCGCTGGTGGTTGGTGGGACTTTGGAGCTTTTGTTTCTCTATTTTGTTTGTCATTTGTAATGGAGTTTTATTTTTGGCAGAATGATATAATTGAGCTAATGTGGAATATTTATAAAAGAAATAATACTTTAGGGAAAAGAAAATAAATTTGTTGCTGGAGTGAGTTTCACGCAGGCTGCCAAAAGAAGAAAGGAAAGGAATCTAGCCGTGTGAGTAGGTGAAATGAAATAAAGCATAAGAAAATAAAAGGATGGTTGTGAGATGATGAGAGGCATGAAATGTTAAATAATAGTAATATTAAATGACTGACTGATTAATGTTGTTGTCGAGAACATGATAATAGTACTCATCATGGATAAGATCATATGTTTTGAATCATAAATTACTATATATTAAAAAAAATTTTTAACAATAAGATAAAAAAAAGTCACTATCAAAAATTTATTTTTGATGATAACAATTAAAAATTACTGTTAAAAATTGACCTTTGACAATGATTTTTTTTAAAAAAAATTATTGAATATTTAAAAATTATTTTATTTTAAGTTCATTTTTCAAACAAAAATAATATTTGCTATCACAAAAATAATATTTTATTAAAAATATAATACACACACTCATATAAATTATTTTATCATATTAATAAATGAAAATAAAATATAATATATATGTATACATTTCTAAAAATATATTATTTGATAAATGTATATGTGGTTAAATAATATATATTTAATTTCACAAATAGTAATTGCAGGTGCATTTCAGTTCAACTGACAAAAAAATAAGTCTTAAAACTTGGAAGGTGAAGATCATAAATTCAAATCCTAATTTAGATATATTTCACATTAAATATATGATATGTCACATGACATGAGATGATTTTTTTAAAAAAAAATTACTTCTAACAGCAACTTTTTGTTGTTGCTAAAGATTTTTAACAGTAATTTTTTATTATTAAAAGATTTTCATTAAAAATTTAGTTGTTAATAGTTTTTGGTGGCAAGTTGTTAATTATATTTATTGTCATAAAAAATTATTAACAATAAAACTTTTTGAATAATTATCATTAAAAATATTTAATGATGGTTTTTGGACTTTTGATGGGTGACGTGCCAAAAGTTATTATTATTATTTTTTTTTATAGTGTTTGGACTGATCATATGTGGTAGGACCGGGCTCCTTTTCATTTTTGTTTGCATGCTTCATGGATCGTGATGAAGTCGATCGCTGAATTATCCAAAGGCCAATTCTTTATCTACTTTTTTTTGATAAATAATTCTTTATCTACTTTACTCACGAGTATTAAAGAAATTAGTTGAAAGCAATTAGTACTCTTCATAATTAATACTCCTACCTATGTCACATGAACTCTTTTTAAGTGAGAAGAGAATTAAAATAATATTATAATATAATGATTAATTGTATACGTGCATTTTTAAAAGTCTGTAGTTTGTTTTGAAAAAAAAATAAGTTGATAAAGTTCTATTATTGGTATTCATAATCTTATTTTAAATTGTCATATATTTAAGATGGAAGAAGTATTTTTTTAAAAAAAAATATCTCAATTAATTTTGAACTTTCACCTGGTTTACTTTTAATGAAGGGTATGAGGGATCTTAATAAATGAGGTAGGCATAGGTAATTAGAGAGATTATTAGAACGTATAAGCGTAAGTGGACTCGCGCTATTGTGTGAAGTCTCATGTTAAATAGAATTGAATTTAATAAGTACTCTCTCTTGTTCTTATCACATGGCACCTTTTAGAAGTATTTTTTTTATTCTTAATATAAGCCACATTTTGAATACTTATTACGTATTTTCAATATTATTCATATTTAAAATCATAAACTATGAAAGATGATGTAATGTAAATTAAAAAAAATTCATTTAAATATGGATAAAATTAAAAGTTTATTCTATTTTTAATCAATAAAATAATTTAATTACTTCTTTTATTAATTTTAGTAAGATAGTTGAAGGTACTTTGTGGAGACCAAAGGGAGTGATATATAATAATCACAAACTCATATCTTAATGCTTTTAGTTAACGTCATTGTTCGGCCCCAACAAATATATATCTCTTTGTAAAAAGTTACAATCATACTTTATAAATTGGTTAATTTTTTTTTTAGAAAGCTTTACATAAGGGGAGGAGGAAAGAGATCATGGATGCTTAATGATGCTTTTTTCAAAAAAAAAAAAATTTACTCATGATATCCCCACAGCCAAAAATCAAAAGATTAATTCTTCAAACGGCTCTTATTCCAACCTATATATCACAAAATGACAACCTATTTGGGTGGACTTGTTTTTTTTTTTTTTTTGGGTCAAACAAAGAAGATTGGACTTGATTGAAAGAAAACAATGCAGCGAATTTGGATACTAAAGTGGCTTTACTTGAAGTGAGGAAACAGACGGATACCAAATGGTTACGACTCCTCAGATTTCCAAACTTGATAAAAGTTGGGGAAATTTGGTAGGAAAGATCATGACAAGAATATATTTCCAAAAAACGACTAACGTCCTTCAAGTAAATTAAAATTGTTATTGAATTAATATCATAAGCTTTATCCACTTGAATGAATTAGTCCTTTTTCCTGAATATAATTAGCTCATGGTCCTTCCTGCTTTAAAATTTCTTTTTTGAGACAATACTCCTAACAGCCTTATTTTTTTTTTCCTAACAAACCTTTTTTCTTTTGGCCATTCATATTTTTAAACTGTTTTGTTAGTTTTATGTAGTTTAGCAAATAAATTTTTCATTAATTAAATGGTTATATATAAAAAATTATTTATATAATAATATCAATCTCTTAATTTTAGATGATAATAAAAATTATGATTATTGTGAATAAATTTTAGTTATTTAATTAAACTGAACCCTTTATCTTATTTATAATATTTTTTCTTTTTAATACTTAATATAAACCATTTTAAAATAAAAAATTCTTGTTAAATAAGTAATTAATATCTATCATGTTTTCTTTTTTGTATTTTTCCAAATTATATAATAGAAAACGGGGAAACGCACGACGCCAGAAGAGAAGAGCACGATAATGCAGTTATGCGTTCCCCCCCACCCTCCTTTTTCTTTCTTTTTGCCCCTTCTATGAATGGAGAAAAATAGTATATCTTACTTATAAAATACTTCTTTTCAATCAAATCAAGACATATAAATTTTTTTAAGAATTATTTATTTTATAACATTATTAATACATTAAAATTTATTTGTCTTGATTTGATTGGGTAAAATTAAAAGAATACTAAGTATAAAAGACTAAGTAGTTAAGCGTTGCCGTTTATAAATTTGACTCGTAGCTTAATTGGATGCCATGTGAGCTTCTTCTAACAGTGAGTACCATTTTTTGCCACCTTACATGAGTTTCAAGGGACTGACTAGATTTTATTAATTACAAGGATTAACTTTTGAAATGGTGGAAATTTCAGGACTTGAATCATTATAACAAGTCAAATTTTAAAAACTATGTTGTAACAGGTTAAAACTTTTAAGATTGAATTGTAATTAAATTAAAACCACAGGGACTGAATCAAATAATTTTCCCTATTAATTAATCATCAACATCACTCAGATTCAGGCTTACATGTTGAAGTTTTCCAGGTGGTATGGTGGGTTTTGGAGCTTTGTTTGTTTGTTGGGGTGTGTCGTTTTGTGCTTAATATCTTGCGCATGTTTTGTTGTGCTTATGCTTATTCAGACTATTAATTTTTTTTAGAAAAAAAAAATTAAATGAGTCCTAACTCAGTAGCTTATTATTAGAATACCAACATGTCTTTGAATTTAAAAATCACTAATGAATTTCCCGCTAATAAATTCATCATGACCTTTTACATTATGAGTCAGTTAAATTCATATTAACTGGATCAACTTTTATTAATCAGGCCTTAGCAGTCTTTATTTTGTATAGTTCGTTGGTTTTATGTCTGATCTTAATGATATTTTCGGCAAAGAAGTGAAAAAGAAAATCTGAATTACCGGATAATTATAAGCTGCAAGTCACAAACATGTCACATTTCAGATCAGAAATTCTTCAATTTATTATTTGTTTAAATTATTTAATACGCGGAATAATTGAGTTACTTTTTGCCAGACTGATATAATTGAACTGAAAGATGGGGGACAAGCATAAAAGAAATGGACCTTTTACATGGTGAAGATAAGAAATGTGTTGTTTGGATGAGTCCTGGTGAAAATGGATAGACGCATTAATAATCTTCTCTTCTTTATGTGGAATCTTTTTTAAGATCAAGAACAAATCTACTATTTAATGTCATAGCCCTAAAATTCTTTATCTGGTTATGACCATTGGCCTGAAAAAGATTTTCTGTGAATAAAATCCCAAATTGAAGAAGGAAATAATGAAATCTCCCAACCACATCTCCTGGCAATATTATGAACTTATTAAGACAGAAATTATCATTTAGTTTTCTTTTCTAATCCTGGTCTTAGTCACCGAGCTATATTTTGACCATCAATCATTATCTCCAAACTAAAATGTATAAAATCTCTTTGAATTTTGAGAGAGTTGCATATAACCCTCTCACTTTTAAAAGTTTAAAATTAATCTCCTAATTTTTATTTTTTTAAAACCCCCTATTGTTAATTATATTATTTTTTCATGAGGGTTAAAATGTCATTTAACTAAAAAATATTATTAAACAAGATATTATATTGTAGAACTATGGCTACTTAATTTCTTATATTTTTTGGATAGTTAAGGCATTGATAATATCCAAAATAAATGTTATTATCACCATATAAAATTTTAAATATTTACTTTTGTGTTAGCCTTATCTATTTTTTTTGGTTATTAATGGTGCATAGCTTTCTAGTATTAAAAGATAAATTATTCGATCATGGTAATATTTAAAATTTTAAATATTTTAGCCATGTGCATTACATTAATCAACATAAAAATATAAATATGAATTTATTTTTTAAAACAATAAAATCATGCACCATTGATGACAAAAAACATGAATAAAACTAATATAAACATAAATATTTAAAATTTTAGATAGTGATAATAACATTTTCTTTGTTATCAATGCCTCAACTATCCAAAAATATAAAAAATTTATTATAAATAGTTATACAATATAATATTTTTGTTTAATAATATTTTTTAGTTGAATAACATTTTAACCCTCATGAAAAAATAACATAATTAATAATAGGGGGTTTTAAAAATAAAATTAAAGGTTAAGAGGGTTATATGCTACTGTCTCAAAGTTTATGGGAGTTTTATTCATTTTAGTTTTATCTCCAAGAGAATTTTTTCAATTTTTTGTTTTTCATTTTTTGAATTTTTCAGCTCTATTTTTCATTGTTATTGTATTACTCTTCTATTCTAAATTATAAAATACTTTTGAACCAAATCTCATATAAATAAAACTTATTAAATGTACTTAACAACTTTATTTTTTAAAATAAAAATATACACTTTTAAAAATACGCTTCATTTAATATATTAAAAAAAATGAGAATTAAATAGTGAGAAAAAGAGTAATATTAAGATAAATATATTTGATAAAATTTTAATATTTTTAAATTGTCTTATATTTTGAGATATTAAATATCTTTCAAACATATCTTATACCACCACCACCAGTTATTATACTTTTTTCTTTTATAAAAAATCCTTAATTAAATGGATTTTGTAATCTTTGACGTGACACTCAATTGTGATTGTAGGGGCTATACTTTTTTTTTTTTTAATCCTTAATTAAATGAAGTTTGTAATCTTTCACGTGACGTTCAATTGTGATTGTGGGGCATATAGTTGGTCAATATTTTTAAAGCCTATTCAACTAGCTGCTAGCTGGACTTTTATTTCAAGGAAATCAAACTAAATTTATTTTAATCATTCTCAATTTTATTAGTTTGACTAAAATATTTTTTTAGTTGTTTAATTTTATATAATATTTTATTTTGATCTCTTAAATTTTCAAAGTTTATTTTTAGTCTTTTAATTTGAACACTATTGGTTTTATCGTAAAAACCTCTTACATTGAACTTTTAAATATTAATAAATTATTTTTAAATGTAGTTTGTTTTTAAAAAAATAAATATGATTAGCATGAAAAATAATCATTTGAAACTAATAGTATTAGAGTTAAATGATTAAAAATATACTTTATAAAATTAAGATATCAAATTAAAATCTTATATAAAGTTAGACGATCAAAAGTATACTTTACCCTATTAGTTTTTATCTCCGACTTAATCAATGGGGTTTGAGTCTTCCTTTTTTCATATATAAAAAAAAGCTGTTGAATTTTTAAGGGTTTATAGTGGAATTATAATTTATACAGTTTGATCAATAAAGCATTAAAAAATATTGTAATCTTCAGAATACTGAATTGTTTTACAAGCATTTTGCATGTCCAGATATCTCAAGTCTTTCTTTAATTTCCACTTCAAAACATTTGAGTTTTTCTCTGTAACAAGCAAGCATATTGATTTCATTAATCGATCGACAGTCACTTAAAAATCAATAAAATAAAGAGAACATGTGGATTATATTGCGAAATATGATCTTAATTGATACCTCACTTCAGATTCGGCGCAAGTTTGCACATTAGACCAATTAAAAACAACAAATACAAAACCTTCAACGCATATACATACGTATATATTGGCTTTGCTCAGTTCTATTATCTCATTTGCAAATTTTTTCTCTGTCTGCTTGAACCAAACATAACTTTGTAGAAAAGGGTTTGTTAGAACAAAGCAAACAAACAAACAAACAGTTTGACAAAGCAAAACAAATCTCTCTGCTGGGATTGGAGATAATCAAATTCAGAGAAAGACCATGCCTCTACAAACAATCCTACCTAGCAGGTGGAGGTGAGCATGACATTCTAGACTGAGAATAACTTGTTTCCAATGTAGTGCTTGAGATTAAACTGCTGCTTTCTTCACTTTCAAGTGATGTTTCCATAGCCAAACATTGCTTTAGATCAATTACAACAAAACTTATGTCAGGTCTTTGGATTGATATTGGTGCTATGCAAGACATGGCAACCTCTAAAAGCTTCCATGCTGAAGCTGTGCTGAATTTTCTTTCTAATCTTGGATCCACAACGGATTGGATATCCCCAATCTCAAGCTTTGGATTCACCCAATCCGATATGTGACATGTGCCTTCGGGTGTCCCAGTTATTGCTCGCTGGCCGGTCATTAGCTCAAGTAGAATTATTCCAAAACTATAAATATCACTTTTCTTGTTCAAGTTTCCAGATCTATGGAATCTGTAAATTTTGCAAGGTTATTAATTAGTCATTGAAGAAATTAATTAAGCTAAGCAGATAGTTTATTTTCAACAATCAATGCTACATTTCAAAGCTGTGGATTACTTTAAGTTGCAATTTATATATGTACAGCTAGATGGGTTTGAATGATGAACATAATGCTAATAAGCTATTATATTAAAGGATTGGGGAAAAGAAAAAAAGATAACAAACTTTATAATATAACAACATACTCAGGGTCAAGGTAACCAAATGTGCTTGTTGGTTGAGTTGAAATAGGAGTATCAGTACCATTGGCAAAAGCTTTAGACAGTAATCAGCAATCTTAGCTTGCATATTTTCACTTATCAAGATGTTAGAAGATTTTATCTCTCTGAATTATTGGTGGATTAAAACCATTATGTAGATAGTCCAATCCTACATTTCCATTGGCCAAGCAATTAAAGTGAATGCTTAAGTTATAATAAAGGTAATCAAATATAAACACTGAAAAAAAAAGGAAAATGAGCTGACAGTGCAATGATCAGAAAGAAATAAAAATTCTACAAACCACATGCTGCATTCAATGCAATTTGAAGTCTCTCATTCCACTTCAAAACATTTGGGTTGTTATCTGCAAAACGTTCATGTTGTGTTAAAAAAAAAAAAATTGAAGTCAAGCATTCTCCCAAATTAATTAATTCTATGGTACACATTTTAGAACCTTGAAAACTGTCGGGGTAAATCATAAAACAACTAGTCACCTAAATTAAAAATAAAATAACACTGCAGTTTTAATTTTCGTGAGCAAATTGTAGAACTGACATTAAAATATTGTTCTTCAATTATAATAAATAAGCTTGGAAATTTGGACTTAACAAACCTGACAGTAGGTTCCGGACATTTCCTTTTGCCATGTATTCATAAATCAGTGCTCTCATGTCACCATCACCACAATAGCCCACGAGAGACACTAGATTTTTATGATAAATAAGGGATAATAGTTTTGCCTGCATTAATTCTGAACCTTATATGTGAAAGAAATGGTTGAGGATCCAAAATAATTAATCAATGATTTTTACTTCTAACCTCTGATTGAAACTCATCAAACCCTTGCTGCGATGACTCAGAAAGCAACTTGACAGCAACGTGGGTACCATCTTTTAGTCTTCCAAGGAACACCTTCCCAAATCCCCCTTCTCCAATTTCAGTTTCAAAGTCTTTGGTAATTCTATGAACTTCAGCTTGAGAAAATCCTTGATTCTTTAATTTAATCTGACCATCTTTCTCGGGCAACATCGCTGCAGCAATGTCCGTACAATAAAATTTCAATCGCATTATACACAAAAGAATGCTAAGCAAGGACCATCTATAGTTCTATACATGCATAATTACATATACAAGAAAAAGGGACCATCTATACATAATACTGATTAAAGGACGAATTTGCATAACTTTTCAAAGATTCATACAAGAAAAGATGAGACAGATTTGGAGGAAAGTGGGGGACTTGATCACCTTTGGAATCACTGTGATGTTTTCTTTTAAGTTTGCAGAGCATCAAAGAAATGTAGACTGTCATTGCAAGAACTGCCACCGAAGCTATGGATGCAACTAGTGGTTTTATGAACTTTGTAATGGTCTGGCAAGAGCCTATCTGACAGAGACCAGGATTTTCAACCAGACTGGGAAAAAAATAGCATCAATATGCAAGTGTCGGTTTTAAGGTATGAGTAATAAATTTCAAGATTTGTATATTCATCAACATTAGTAATATAAGAAATGAAGACTACATTTAGGTTATTATCATCACAGAAAACATGGAAAATGAAAGAAAAATGAAGCTATCACATTCTTCAATTCTTTTGAAATAGTCTTATTCTAACAAAGAAGGAAAAAAATCTGTGTAGCATGCAGAGAATGCAACTGCTGAGTAATGTTTTTTTTTTTTTTTATTTGATAGAAAGCAACTATACCCGCCCACCCATATTTACAGAAGGAAACGCGCACACCCTCCACACCTACTCTGAGTTCCAAACCCGCAACCTCTCTATCACAAGAGGTGCGAGAACGAGAGTAAGGCAAAACGAAATGAATAAAGCCAAGGCAAGATACCTGGCAACCATTCAACAGAGGAATAAATAGTACATGACCACAGTAGGCCGTTACAACAGATTCAATGAAAAGCAGACACGTATAGGCAGAGGACAGGGAGAATATACACGTATACAAATACAAGATAATTACAAAATAATCTCTATTCTCTAACAGTGCGGAGGTCCCATTGTGCTAATGAGTTGAAAGAGTTTGTACTTTGTTTTGAATATGAACATACTTCAAAGTTAAACCAGTAGTTGACTTTTCCCTCAGAGCCTTGGGAACTGAGCCTGTGAGATTATATCCTGTCAAATTACTGAAAATTCATCACGCGAGATAAATTGCAAGACTTTTTAAACAAGAAAAAAGTATTGCTATGCTCAAGTGTTGCAACTCACAGTAGTTTCAAATTGGGTAGTTGTGCTAAAGATTCTGGTATTTTCCCTGTTAATTGGTTGTTCGACAAATCCCTTCAATGTGAGACTCATTATTACCATCACGCGTAGTCATTAAATGAGAAATATGCTTCGTAGACAGACAACGTGAAGCTTCTATTTGTTCTTCGAGAATAAAAGTTGACCTTGCATATAAATGATACTTACAAGGTATCCAACATCATGAGGTTGGAGAATGGAGTTACAATTTGTCCTGTCAATCTGCTTGAGCTCATCTTCCTGTTTAGAAATTGTTAACAATGAAAATTCACGTTTCCAAGAAAAATACAAGCAAAGAATAAGAGAGATTGAAGTCAAAGCGAAGACAAACACTTTGTGTGCGTGTGTGCGTGTGTGATTAAGCATCATGAAAAACAGGTGATACTCTTGAACGAGAACATTTGTTTAGCGATTTGGTAAGTTCATTTTCCATGAAAACTTTCACGCATTACAACTCTGAAAATTATAAAAGATCAAAAGAGCCATTACTCACAAAGATGTGACCCTTGGAATTCTCTTAGAGTAATTGCAAGTCAATCCTTCCCATCTATAATCTTTCGGCATGCAGGGATCACTTTGCCAACTTGTAATAACCCATATTATAATAATAAAGCTAGATTAAATAATAAGATAATTTTATTGTATTTTAAAAAAAAATTTATAATAACAACAACAACATGCATTGGTGGTTCTGTGAAGATTTTGTTGGTTCTTATTATTAAAGTTTTGCACTAGAGATTTTTATTTTTATTTTTATTTTTCCTCTGTTATTAGAAACTACCATTTTGCCCCATAAAAAAAAGGAAGAAGTGAAAAAAAAATGAAATGGCAGATATATATCAGGCTTCCTCCTCGCCTCTGTTTTTTTTTTTTTGAAAATTCTAGACCAGCCGAGAGAGAGAGAACGAGAGCGAGCGAGCGAGCTCAGACCTTCCTGTCTCGACTTTCCTCTGTTTCTTCCGCCGCCTACTGTCATCGCCGGTGACTGTGAGTGAACTTTCCTCCCCCTCCTTTACTGTGTTGCTATGTGTAAATGTCAGAGTTCATTTTTCCTACTGCGCGTCACTGGTGCTTGCTGCCATGGAGGTTTTGTCAATTCTGTTGTCGTCCTTCATTCTCCTCTGTTAGTTTCGGCTACGTGTTTCTATATAATGCAGTGGGAGTGATTTCTGTCATGGTTAGAGGTTCAGTTTGCTAGTTCTCCCATTTCCCTGTGCGCGACAGTGAGCAGCTCTCTTTCCCCTGTTCTTGACATTTTTCTGGTTGGAGGGAACTTTGGGTTTCTTATTCTATATCTGCCATGGTGGACCTGAGGTGAAGATCTTTGAATCCTTATTTTTCTTCTTTTCTGTCTGGTTGAATTTGGTGATTGAGAGAAGCTTCAAACTCAAGACCCCTGTTATTCTCCATCCTTTTCGTTCTCCTTCCTTGCTGTTTTGTCCATCGAAAATATCCAAGTTTGCCGTGGATTCACCGCTGACGAGGTTGGAGTCATGATCACTGTGCTTCTCTTTCTCCTCTGTTCGTGTGCACTGTGGGATGCTGTCATCGAAGCCTCTCCTTCATCATCTTTCCCTGTTTCGAGGCTGTTCTGGTGACGGGGGCTTTGACTCCTCCTGATCGTTTCTCTTTGCTTCATTGGTGAGCTAAGTTCTATCCTTTCTTCCCCTATCATCGAATCTATGTGTGTATTGTGAATAGGTAGGAAGTTCGGTCTTTGATTAAATCTTTTCTGCCTTCTACGTGTCTATATGCAATGAACTGGAATTGCTTTGCTTTAATTGCTGTTGGATGTTGAATAAAAGGGGAATTTGGGGCTTCCTTTTTGTTAGTTTTGAGGAATACATAAGAAGTTTGATGATGTGGTTTGAATGTTAATGTTGTTAAGGTGTTCATGAAAATGTGTAGAAGGGTTGAAATGGAGTAATTAAGTATGTTACAAGGTTTAAAATCTAATACTATGGATTTAGGTTTCTGTGGTATGAATTTTAATTTGTTCTTGATAAAGAAACGTGTTTAGGAGGCATAGAGAATTTGTTTGTATGTTTGGATTTTTGTCAAGAGATTTAAAAAGTACTTGGCTAATATTTCAAAGATCAAGTTTGTTTGTTCTTATGGTAACTTTTGTGTGCTTGTGAAATGTCTGATAGAATATGTGATGAGGGAATTTTATAAAAATTGGACATACATGAGTGATAGGTGATGCTGATTAAATCACATGACTAGTCTATTTTCTATATGAAGACTTAAAAATTTTAAGTACTATCTATATATGTGTTTATTGAAGATTTATTAATTAAACTTAATACGGGTTCTTATTTGTGAAATGTCAATGTCGATGTTATCTTTTCCCATTCTTTAAATTTGTTTGTATTGAAGATTTTGAATTTATGAAGTGAATAAAGGAGATAACAAAAATGATCGTTTGGGCGCTAGGGAAATAAGGTACAGACCATATCACAAAAGGGGTTAATTAGGAGTAAGTCATATGTTTTAAAATGTCTCAAGTAAGTGGATAGCGTCCCAACTGATATTTCATTGAAATTTCTTTTATTCGAATATTACATTTTTATGCAAATTATTTTTACGACAATAATGTGATTATGAGACATTTTGTTGATTAAATTACTTTATTTTGTGAAATTATCTTACCATAATTGATCATTTTGGTTAATCAGTAAATAGAAGTTTGAATTCTAATTGTGGGATTTTATTTTTCTGGAAATTATTTTTATAGCATTAATGCGATTATTGAATATTTGTTCATTAACATTACTCTATTTTGATAAATTAGCTTTACCAAATTTAAAATATTATTTTATCAATGAAATTAAGTTTGAACTTTGATTATGATATTTTTATTCTATTAAATATTGGAGAGATACAGAGAATGACTCATGCGAGTTTGAAGTTAAAATTTTTTCAATAAATGCAAGCATGAGCATTGGATATAAAATTTGATTCTGGAAAGTTTTAATGCTTAAAAGTATTCATGCGAGTTTGATTTTGAGAATGAGAACTGTATCTTAAAAGTGATAATTTTCTCGCATGTTTGAAATGATTTTAAAAAAAAGGACTTTATATAGAACACTGGTTGCTAACGGCAGTTCCGTTAGCCCTTGGCGCGCCATGGTACACCTAGTTAGCAGGGTGTTTATAGGAGGTGCTAGCCCCATGCGATGGCCAACGCACGTGGAACGGAGGGATGGTTATTCGTGAGCATAGTACTCACGTTTGTTTCGTGGCTTCAAGCCGCGTTTGGTTAGCAATACCCTCGTGGACTGTGTGTTCACGTTTGTTTCGTGGCTTCGGCTGCGTTTGGATACTTACCCTCGTGGATTGTGTGTCCACGTTTGTATTCGTGGCATAAGCCGTGTTCGGTTATTTACCTTTGTGGACTGTGTGTCCACATTTGTCTATCGTTCTGATAAGTCCCTAAAAAATTTGTGAATTTGACTATTTGGTGATTTTATATTTCATTGGTTTTTATTTAGTAAATTATTTACAAGTATTTATTTCATTTATGTGACTTCTTAAAAATCAAGTGATATTACCATTTGCTATGTTAGTTCAATGATTCAAGATTTTATTTAAAATTTTATAGAATTATTTTATTTTGAAGTTTCTACATTTTTTTATGGAAATTTTTGTTTCATTAACTTACATATCTATTTTGAATTTTTCATTTTATTTATATTCAATTATTTATTGTTGGGACGTTATTCACTAAAAAATATATTTTTGGCGTCAGGTAGCATAAATTGAACTTGTATATCAAAGTGTTACTTGAGACATTCTATCACTAAAGTGGAGTGGAAGAATTATTTCAAACAAGTTTTACTTGATGAAAATTTGAACCCTGTATTCATTTCAGGGAATGGTCCTAACTGCTCCATGTATAATGTAGGTAGGATTCTCATCTTTCTTAAAAGATTGTATATATGTTAGTACGGAGCGAGATCCTTTATTTTGATTATTATTGTTCTTTGTCATTCATTTCAGGAAGTCTTATTTACATGAAAGTTCTATTAAAAATTTTATAAATAATAATAATAATAATAATAGCAATAGCAAAAATCATATGCCTGTAGTTTGGCATGGATGAAAGTATATTTGTTTAAGGCTTAAGGAATATGAGTTTTACACACATATTCCGTACCGGTCATGTCTTAACTTTTTGGGGCGTGACACAACTAATTCTCATGATGTTGTAGGCACGTTTAATATCCCGCATAGCATCAACTGTCAAATGGAAGTAACCTTTTGTTCTTTTAAATGGAAGAAAATATGAAATATGGTAGAAAATTGTTGAACAACAACAGATTTTGGCTATGATTGTTGAAAAACAACTTAGATATGATTGGCTAACTTGAGAGAGTAGCCCAAAATGATCAGTCATTCTAAAGTAAACAGAGAAAGATAAGATATGCTTGCCATCTTCTTCATGAGTTGGGGTATTTCGTTGGGGTAGTGCTCTGTAAATCTCGTAGGCACTGATCATGGCGGGTAAACCAGAGCATGGGATCGATGTCATTGAAATACGATTAAGAATAACCCGTTTTGGAATTCTCTTAACCAAGGTATAGACATCCATGTATTCAAGATTTACAGGCTTTCGGATCGTATCAGTGAAAGTGACTTCCATGTTTCTTACTTCATCATTAGAATGCTCCTTGAAATAAAAAAAAAGAGAAGGTAAACATAGTGCTCGCTATCTGCTGTAAAATTAATGTAGGTCAAGTTGATATATAATGAAGACGAATCATTTTGTGCTTGGACTGCAGTTGTCAACACTCCAATTGGTAGTTTGTATTCTTTCACGTCACCATCTATTGCTTCTAATATGGAGATTGGCTTTGAGTTGTCGATCTTCCCATTGAACCAGGACCTACCATAGATATCTGCATATCTGCATTATTGTTTGTGTGAGCAACATTAATCAACTCCAGCTAGAGGGTCTAACGTCCCTCCCTTTAATGCTTTTTATAATGCCCTGCCTTCCTAATTTTGTCTTTTTAATCGTTAACTATACGTAGGATAAGAAACATTGAAGTCACGAAGCAGTAATGTTTTTTACGATTTTTCAAAGAAAAATATCAAATTTTATTTTATTTCTCTTTCTGAAATTGTAAAAAGATATTTTTCTTTCTAAAATCATAAAAAATATAAAAATAGTATTTAAGAAGGGAGGGAAAAAAAATAGCTAGGCTGCCCAACAATTTTAAGAGGACATATAAGATTATACCCCTGCATTTTAATCTGAAATCGTAGGACATTAAGTTTATATGTCTATTTCAGCTCAACAACAATCGACATGGTCCTTTTTTTCTATACCAAATCAAGTGAATTCGCACTTAACATCCCAACAGAAGCTAATGATCTTTAAAACAAAAAAAAAAAGTGAAATTGGGATGGCGGTACACTACAAAAAGCACTAGAGAAGGTGACGCAGCTAACCCAATTCAAGAGCAATCAAATGAAGACATGCACGTCATGAAACACACACCTGATAAATTTAAGCTTTTCGGTCATACCCAGGTTAACACACGTCATGAGGCCTAATGGGAGTAAACTAGAGTAGGCTCGATATATAGGATTTGACAAAGGCCAAAGTTCCAACAACGATACAAAAGGTGTTCCTTTACCAACGTTGATAAGACAGACATCGTTGTAGTTTGTTGTGGAGAGTTGAACGACTGTTTTTCGTCGAATAACAGTGACATTCTGGAACTTAATTTCTTCCCAAAAATTGACGTCAAGACGTAAATGGAAGTATGGAATAGAGTTTTCGTGGTCGTAGTTTCCATATGACATGTAAACCCTAATGAGATAGTTGCTGCCTTTGCCATTCTTGGGTTTGAGTGTGTAGCAGTTTCTCATCCCTTCCGGGAAACTTCTCAGTGTTTTCATTTGCTCCCAAACCTGTTCTTGGCTATTAGCATAGATGTCATCAGAAGACACGTTGTATATTTTACCAGGTTCTACAAACTCTGCATCATCTGCCTCGTGATGAAATCCATTTGAATCCTGACTTTCTCCAGTTACCCCACAATCAATGCTTATCTCCCCTAATTAAATTGGGAAGCAAATTTAGGAAGTGCCAAGACAAATGCATATGAATAATCAATATTAAAATATCTTGAAAACTTGTCATGAGCAGTATGGCTATATTTAATATAAACTGAAAATCAAAAGAAATATGAAATAAGGGTAGTAAAAAAAAAAGCAATAGGTAGAGTTAATTAAAAGTTTGAGATGATTGAAGAAAAGAAAAAAGTGATATAAAAGTAAATTGTATATTTATAGATATAAAGAAACATATTTGATGTACTCCTAAAATGTTTGATGATAAACTTAAAAATATATTAAATAAATTGAAGGTTAAATTGAACTGGCAGAATATAATTTAGTGATGGAAATATTAAAAATTTTCAAAATTTTTCTTTCTCATCGTATTAATTTATCAAGCATAGAAAAAATTGAATTTATGTGAAGTTTTTTTTGGTATTTTTCATTTCATTTTTTTATGATGGTTTTTTTTCCATTTTATTTTCTTATAAAACATAAAATCTTCTATCTTTTTTAAAAAGGTAAACTTCATGAAATTTACATTTTCAAATTTAGAGAATCCTTCCAAAACACATAATAAATTACTCCTACACTCGCCACTCATAATAAGTAATGAATGGTATAATTCATCTTACACCTCATTCAATGCGTAAAAAATATACTCCCTCCGTTCAAAAATATAAGGCATTTTTTAAGAAGTTAGATGTTAAAAAATGTAAGGCATTTTTAGTCTTTCAAAGTGTAATCATTACTTCTTTTTTTTCAAAAGTGCCCCTATTGATAATGACTTTATATATTTATTATAGGGTATTTAATAGAAGTAAATATGAAAAGATAGGGTTAGTTAAAAAGTAAATAACTACTTTATTGAGAAGTGGGATTCGATTAAAAATGCCTTACATTTTTTAACAGAGGAAGTATGTAGTAAGATAAACTTATGTGTAGTAATATCAACATTTGTGAAGACATATTTAGAACTTAGTCAGAATAAAAATATTTTTTTCATATAAAAGTACACCAAAGGTTAGTTTTAAAATCGTAGTCTATGTTCAATAAAAAAAAAATTAAATCATAGTCTATGATAACCCTCATATTAGCTTTTTGAAATGAAAACAAACCATAAAAACCAGTCATAAATTTCCAACAAGTGTTAAAAATCACGAACGAAAAATAAGAAAAACATAATAATCAAACAAACCATGAAACTACAAGAATCTAAATTCCAATTCAAATTCTTGTGTGTGTGTGTGTGAATGTGTGATGAATAAATTGAAGTGCTTACGACTTGTATCAGTATCAGCATTAGATGCAACAACTTGTGCCGACTTTTGAAGATGGATGATCAATGAAACAGACACGACCAAAGCCAGAATCCAGAGTGGTCTGATCTTCATGGTTGCTCAAAGTTTCAGGAAAGTGGAACACAGAATGAACTGAGGAGCATGAGTAGAGATTGAGATCATTATCTGTTCATCTGTTGGGAAAAATTATGCACGATAAAGCATGCAATAATTGACCGTTAATAATGTGTAATTCATAAATATTTTGGGAAAGTGTGTGTCGCTGAGGAAGAAATAAAGGGTCATCAGAAAAAAGTGGGCGTCAAAAAAATGCTGACTCAACCAGATTTCCCTTTTGACACAATAGTCCTAACAACCATTTTTTTGGTTTATCAAATATATTTTTTATTAATTATATGGTTATATAAAAAAATTAAATATGGAATTTAATTGTATTTAAATATTAATCTCTTAGTTTAACGATAAAATGGTTATTATTTTGAATGAATTTTAATTGTCTTTATCTAGATAGTGAGAACTACACTTCATTGGTTGGGAGTGGTCAACATGGCTCCGATCAAAGCATTGTCATATAACCTGAAGGTAGTGTCTAACAAAACAACCTTAGCTGTACCCTTTCTTCCATCAAAAAGTAAGGATAAGGTGAATAGCTCCAATATGAATGTGGGTATAACCCTGATTGATCCAGCCATCAATCAGGGGTTGAGTAATCTCAAGGGTAATATATTGTTCGGCTATGGTAGTAGAAATACCACACTAATCTATGCTAGAGGTTTGGATTACCTCTTTAGACTGAGGTCAGTTCGAGTGAATCAAAGTCTTGATACCTCAAATGAAAGAGTTTCCTTGATGATAAAGTTTATAAGGGTTAAGAAAGGGAAGTTGGGTAGCTGGAATACGAGTATCTTCAGGAGCAACAGTATATTTTATAAGGCTTTTTATTTTCTAAGAAAGTATTCTTTTTACAATAAAAGAAAGGTGTTCAAAAGAAAAGGTTGAAGAGAGACGAATAGTGTCAAGAACTGTGGCAAGGGTTTCTGAGGAGCTTTCTAGGAATTCACTCATGTTTTTTGGAGTTTTCCTTACTCACTTTCATCAATAATATCTAGCATCTTTCAATAAAGAGGAATGGCTTTAATATCACTGGGGACTCTATTTGTTATTTTTAATAAGGAATCTAAACCATTTTAAAATATAAAACATTTTCTTAGCTTCTTAAATAATTCATGTAATAAACATAGTTAATAATTATAAATGATGAAGTTCCCGTTGCGTCGCTTCTAAATTTTCCTGAACACGCTCACTGAGGGCAGAGTTTTTCTTATAAAAGACAAAGTTAAAGTTCGCTGGTGGTTGGTGGGGTTTTGGAGCTTTTGTTTCTCTATTTTGTTTGTCATTTGTAGTGGAGTTTTTTTTTTTGGGCAGAGTGATATAATTGAGCAAATGTGGAATATTCATAAAGGAAATAATACTTTAAGGAAAAGAAAATAAATTTGCTGCTGGAATAAGTTTCACGCAGGCTGCCAAAAGAAGAAAGGATAAAGGAATCTAGCAGTGTGGGTAGGTGAAATGAAATAAAGCAGAAGAAAAGCAAAAAGATAAGAGGCATGAATGTTAAATAATATTAGTTAAATGACTGACTGATTAATGTTGTTGTTGAGAAAATGATAATAGTTCTCATCATGGATAAGATCAAATGTTTTGAATCATTAGTGGACTGGTCACGTAGCAGGACCGGGCTCTTTTTTACAGAGCTCATATTGTAGGAACTGTTTTTGTTTGCATGCTTCATGAATCATGATGAAGACGGTCGCTCAATTATTCAAAGGCCAATACTTTATCTACTTTGCTTATGAGTATTAAAGAAATTATTTGAAAGCAATTAGTACTTTTCATAATAAATACTCCTACCTATGTCATGCACTTCCTTTACCCCAAATTATAAGATAATGGTGTAAGAATTTTTTGTCCCAAAATATGAGACAATTTGAAAAAATTAAAGTTTCATTGATGGTATTTTTTTTAATATTACCCTTCAAGTAGATAGAAAATTGAAATAATATTACAGTGTAATGATTAATTATATATGGGCATTTTTTGAAATTTAAAATTTATTTTAAAAAATAAGTTGGCAAAGTGTCATTATTATCTTTTATTGGTATGCGTGATATTGTCTCAAATTATTTTATAATTTAGGATAGAGAGAGTATTATTTTTAAAAAAAATACCTTAATTAATTTTGAACTTTTACCTAATTTACTTTTAATGAAGGGTATGAGGGTATGAGTGGACTTGAGCTATTGTGAATGAGTACTCCCACCTCTACCTATCACATGGCATCTTTTAGAAGTATTTTTTTCATCCTTAATATATATAAGGCACATTATGGGATATTATTTACACATTTTTAATATTACCCTTATTTAAACTTAATAACTATGAAAGAGAATGTAATGCAAATTAAAATTTTTTATTTAAATAAGGATAAAATTAAAAGTTTATTCTATTTTCAATTAATGTTAATAATTTAACAACCACTCTTGTTAGTTCTAGTGAGGTTGTTGTAGGTATCTTATAGAGATCTAAGGGAGTAATATATAATAATTCCCTCCTCTTGAACCAAACAAAACCTAAGGCTCCCCACAAATATTAATCTCTTTGTAAAAATTTACAGTCATGCTTTATAAATTGGTTAAAAAAATTGTAGCTAAATCTTGCCCCCTATTAAGCAGAAGAAGAAAATTGGGCCCTCATAAAATAATCCTAAATCCATCATCGGTTAAGATGTGTGCGTGTCTTCTTTTTTTAAAAATTTTTGGTACTTTACGTGAAGAGAGGAAAGAGATCATGGATGCCAAATGGTGGCTTTCTTTTTTTGGGTTATACAAGTTATCCCCACATTCAGTAATCATGAGACTAATTCTTCAAGGAGTTATTCCTTTAACCTATATATCACAAAATGACAACCCATTTTGTAACTTAAAAAAAAAAAAAGACAGCCTATTTATGATTGGGCTTTTTTTTTTTTTGGGGTCAAACAAAGAAGATTGGACTTGATTAAAAGAAAACAATTCAACAAATTTGGATACTAAAGTGGCTTTACTTGAAGTGAGGAAACAGATGGATGCCAAATGGTTACGCCTCCTCAAGATTTCCAAATTACTTGGTAAATGTTGGGGAAATTTGGTAGGAAAGATCATGAGAAGAATATATTTGGAAAAAACGACTAACGTCCTTCAAGTAAATTAAAGTAATGTGTTTTTTTGCCACTTTTATAAATGGAGAAGAGTTATATATTTTGCCTTATATATTTAAAATAATTGTTTTCAATTAAATCAAGATATGTAAATTTTTTATACATTATTTATTCCATTAACACATTAAAATTCACTTGTCTTGATTAAATTGAATAAAACTAAAAGTATACCAAATATAAAAGACTATATACTTAAGTGTTGCCCTTTATAAATTTGAGTCGTGGCTTAATTGGATCCCATGTAAGCTTCTTCTAGCAGTGTGAGTACCATTTTTTGGCCACCTGATAAGAGTTTCCGGGGACTGACTACATTTTATTAATTACAAGGTAGCCAGGAATTGAATTATAAGGGGTCAAATTTTAAGGAATGAGTTGGAACGAGTCAAAACTTTAAAGATTAAATTATAAGTAAGTTAAAATTATAGGGATTGAATGAATAATTTTTCCTATTAATTAATCATCAACATCACTCAGATTCAGGCTCACATGTTAAAGTTTTCTGGGTGGTATGGTGGGTTTTGGAGATCTTGCGCATTTTTGTTGTGCTTATGCTTATTCAGACTGAATTGTTTTTTTATAGCAAAAAAAAATTAAATGAGTCCTAACTCGAGAGCTTATTATTAGAACACCGGCATGTCTCTCAATTTAAAAACCACTTTTAAATTTCCCGCTAATAAAGTCATGACCTTTTATATATATTATGAGTTAAATTCATATTAACTGGATCAACTTTCATTAATCAGGCCTTATTAGTCATTTTGTATAGCTTGTTGGTTTTTGGTCTGAATGATATATATTTTCGGCCGGCAAAGAAGTGAAAAAGAAATCTGAATTACGGGATAATTATAAGCTGTAAGTCACAAACATGTCACATTTCAGGTAAGAAATTATTCAATTTATTATTTGTTTAATTATTTAATACGCGCAATAATTAAGTTACTTTTTCGCCAGACTGATATAATTGAGCTGAACTATGTGGGACGAGCATAAAAGAGCTGGACACATTAAATTGAAAAGATAAGAAATGTATTGTTTAGAAGAGTCCCAGTGCATGTCCGGTGTACAGAAAATGGACAGACGCGTTCATAATTTTCTCTCTTGGAAATATTTTATTAACTCTATCTTGGAACGAAGGAAAAGGTTTCGTCTGCCTTGCCTCCCCCTCTTCTCTTCTTTATATAGAAGAGTCTTTTTAACTTCTAAGATCAAGACCAAATCTACTATTTAATGTCATAGCTCTGAAATTATTTATTCGGTTGCAAGACCATCAACCCAAAAAAGATTTCTGGAGAATAAAATCCCAAATTTAAGGAAGAAATAATGAAATCTTCGGACCACATCTCCAGGCAGTTATGAATTTATTATGACAGAAATTATTATTTATTTATTTTTCTTTCCTAATCCTTGTCTCAGTCACCAAGACTTTTTCAACATAAAATTTAACCAAGCGTGTAAATTTGTCCGAATAAAATTGTATATTTTTCCTGAATAGGTTTTTACGATCTGCACGTATCTACAAAATTCTTCCACAAGTTTGCTTTTATCTGCAAAATTCTTCCATCCCTAGTCCTCTTTGAGAGTTTTCAACACTTTTCAATAGTCTGAAATAATCTTTCGTTGTCTTCAAAAATCTTCCATAGTCTGCACGTGTCTGCAACTTTCTTTCATGAGTTTGCATTAAGTCTCTGGAAAGTCTTCCATCTTTGATCTTCTTTGAGACTCTTCAACTCTAGTCTTCAAATGTTTTCAACACTCTTCTGGAAAATTTTCCTGAAAACTTGTCATCCTATTACTAAAATCAACCAATCATGCAAACTTTTAGGAATAAAATTGTACATTTTTCTTGAAAAGCCAAAGTCAAATGCATCAAGCTTTCGAGTTAATTGCGTCTTCATGAAAAAAATTGTTATCATATTCTAAAAATTA